AGATGGAGAAAATAAGATATTCCATAATAAAGCTGTGGTGGTTTGAAAGAGAATGGCCCCAAAGGGATTGGCACTATAAGGAGATGTGACCTTGGTGGAGTAGGTGTGGTCATGTTGGAGGAAGTATGTCACTGTAGAGGCAGGGTTTGAGGCCTCATATGTGCTCAAGATATCACCCAGTGTTTCAGATCACTTTCTGTTGCTTGCAAGATGTAAATTCTCAGCTACTTCTCCAGTACCATGTCTGCCTGCATTCTACCATGATGATAATGGACTAAACCTCTGAAAACGTAAGCAAGTCATCTCAATTAAATGTTTTCCTTTATAAGAGTTTCTGGGTCATGGTGTCTTTTCATAGCAATAGAAACCCTAAATAAGACAAAAGCCAAATTTAATCAGTATTTACCTACAAATTTAGCTCTACAGAAGGTGCTAGAAGGAAAATGGCAACCTAAGGAAGTTAACTACAACCATGAAAACATAGGGAATAATTTCATACCAGCAAGACGAAAAGAAGGTAAAACACACATACACACACAAACACACCACCACCACCACCAACAACAACAACAACACAATAACAACAACAACACAACAGGAATCAACAATCATTGGTCATTGATATCTCAATAGCTGTGATCTCAACTGCCCAATAAAGGACATAGACATCAATAGAATGGATATGAAAACAGGATCTATCCTTCTGTTGCATTCAAGAAACACACCTCAAAACCAAGAATAGACATTCCCTCTGAGTAAAGATTTGAAAAAAGATATTCCAATAAATGAACCTAAGAAGCAAGGTGGTGCAGCCATTTTACTATCTAACAAAACAGACTTCAAACCAAAACTAATCAGAAGGGAAAGGACACTACATACCCATCAAAGGAAAACTCCACCAAGATAACATTTCAATTCTTAACAACTATGGCCCAAACACAAGGGCACCAAAGTTTGTAAAAAGCAACACTACTACAGCTTATATCACATATTGACCCTCATGTGGTGACAGTGTGTAACTTCAATACCCCACTCTCACCAATATGCAGGTCATTCAAACAAAAACTAAACAGGGAAATACTTGAGCTAACAAATGCTATAAACTAAATAGACCAAACATGTTTATAGAATACTTCACCCAAATTAAAAAGAATATACTTTCTCTGCACCTCATTGAACTTTCTCCAAAACTGACCACATGCTTGGACACAAAGCAAGTCTCAACAGATACACAAAAATTGAAATAACTCACTGCATCCTATTAAGCCACCACAGAATAGAGGTTGATATCAACAGAAGGCTTACAAACTCATGGAAACTGAACAACACTACCAAATGAAAAATGGGTCAAGACAGAAATAAAGAAATTAAAGACTATATTAGAGTTTCTATTGCTGTAAAGAGACACCATGACCATGGCAACTCTTTTTAAATAAAAACACTTAATTGGGGATGGTTTACAGTTCAGAGGTTTAGTTGATTATCATCATGGCAGTAAGCATGGTGGCACACAGGTAGACATGGTATTAGAGAGGTAACAGTTCTACATGTGGTTTGGCAGGCAGCAGGAAGAGAGACAGACACTGGGCTTGGCTTGTACTTCTGAAACCTCAAAGCCCAGTGGAACACTTCTTCCAAAAGGGCCATACCAGGCCAGATCAATATATAATGTCACTCACTACGAGCCTACGTAGGCCATTTTCATTCAAACCCCCACAAAAAAACTTCCAGAATTAAATGAAAATAAATGCACAACATACCCCAGATTATGGGATACAATGAAAGTTATTCTCTTATATAATAATCCTGTCTTTATCTTCCACTCCATCCCCTCCTCATAATCCCCTCACCTCCTCTTTCCCCTAGATCCACTGCTCCTCTGTTTCCCTTCAGAAAAGAGCGACCTAGAGGTTTTAAGAGGCAAGTACATAGCACCAAGTACCTACATAAAAAAATTAATTAAAAAAAAAAACAATTGAAGCATGTGGAGGAAGGGCCCATGGAGCCAGGTGCTAGTAAAGCTGGTCCTGAGGGAGAGTGTAGAGGGTGGAACCCAAGTTGTTTACAAAAAAATATGATTGGCGCTTCAGGTCAAGAAAGATGATGTTAGTACATAATTCCCTCATAGACAACACTGTAAATTCTGTAGACTAGGCAGGTGCGTTATTGGGTAACCTTTAAGCTGATCCGCACAATGGGGCATTTGCCCCTCCCCCACCCTGGTCTCGTTTTCTTTATGCTTTAAAAGGAGCTTGTTGTTTTTAAATAAATGAGTCCCTACCTGACTTGGCTTCTTGCTTCATCTGATTGTCTCCCAGGTAAAAGGGAGGCTGGTGAGCAGTGCATTTACCTTTCCTCAGTTCTAGGGCTCCCTTCTCAAGGGACCTAGGTTCCCAGTGGGGCAGGACTCCACAGAAGAGTTCTCATGATAGCAATATAACAGAACACCTGAAACAAAAAGAAGAAATCACACACAAAGGAGTAGATGGCAAGGAATAATCAAAGCCAAGGTTGAAATCAATTAAAATAGAAACAAAGAGAACAATACAAAGAATCAATTAAAGATTGGTTCTTTGAGAAATCCAGTATGATAGATAAACCCTCATTGAAATTAACTAAAAGTCAGAAAGAGAATGTCCAAAGTAACAAAATCAGAAATGAAAGGGAGGACATAACAACAGACAGAGGAAATCCATAGAATCGTGAGGGTGTAGTTTAAAAACTTGTACTCCACTAAATTGAAAAATCTAAAAGAAATGGATAATTTTCTGAATAGGTATCACTTAAGTTAAATTAAGATCAGGCAAGCAATTTAAACTGATGCATAACGCCTAGTGAAATAGAAACAGTTATTAAAAGTCTTCCAACTGCCGGGCGGTGGTGGCGCACGCCTTTAATCCCAGCACTCGGGAGGCAGAGCCAGGCAGATCTCTGTGAGTTCGAGGCCAGCCTGGGCTACCAAGTGAGTTCCAGGAAAAGGCGCAAAGCTACACAGAGAAACCCTGTCTCGAAAAACCAAAAAAAAAAAAAAAAAAAAAAAAAAAAAAAAAAAAAAAGTCTTCCAACTAAAAATAGCCTAGGGCCAGGTGTTTTGAGTGCAGAATTCACCAGATATTCAAAGAAGAGTTAATGCTAATACTCTGTAAATTATTCCACAAAATAGAAATAAAAGGAACATAGCCCAATTAATTTTATGAGGACACAGTTTTCCTGATACCCAAACCACATGAATACCCAACAGAGAAAGAGAATTACAGACCACTTTCCCTTATAAACTTAGATACAAAAATACTCAATAAAATACTTGAAAACCAAATCCAAGAATATATCAAAAAGATCATCCACCATGATCAAGGAGGCTTCATCTGAGAGATGCAGAGATGGAACAACGTGAAAATCAATAGATGTAATCCACCATATAAACGAACTGAAAGAAAAAAACTACACATGGTCATCTCAGTAGATGGAGAAAAGACCTTTGAAAAAATCCAACACCTTTTCATGATTAAAATCCTGGAGAGTTTAAAGGTACAGGGGACATACCCAAAATAATAAAGGCAGCTCACAGTGCACCTGTAGCCAACATTAACTTAAATGGAGAAAAACTCAAAACAACTCCACTAAAATCACAAGCAAGACAAGGCTGTCCACTCTCTATCTATTCAACATAGTACTTGAACTCTTAACTACAGCAATAAGACAACTGAAGGAAATCAAAGACCAAACCTAAGAAAAATAGGGATAGAAGAAGGAGAATTCCACCTTAAAGGCACAGAAAATATATTCAACAAAGTCATAGAAGAAAACTTTCCCAACCTAAAGAAGGACAAGCCTATGAAAGTACAAGAAGCTTACAGAACACCAGGTAGACTGGACCAAAAAAAAAAGTCCCCTTGCCTAATAATAGTCAAATCACTAAACATACAGAAAAAAAAGAGTATTAAGAGTTGCAAAGGAAAAAGGCCAAGTATAAAGGCAGACCTATCAGAATTACACTAGAATTCTCAATGGAGACTCTGAAAGCTAGAAGGTCCTGGACAGATGTTCTGCAGACAATAAGAGACCATGGGTGCCAGCCCAGACTACTATACCTAACAAAGCTTTCAATCATCATAGATGGAGAAAACAAGATATTCCATGACAAAGCCAGATTTAAACAATACCTGTCCACAAAACCAGCCCTACAGAAAGTACTACTAAAAAAAAAATTCTAACCTAAGGAAATTAGCTGCACCCACAAAAACACAGGCAATAGATAACCAACAAACTCCAAAGAAGGGAAACACACAAACGCTACCACCACCACTACCAAAACCCAAAATAACAGGAATTAATAACAATCACTGGCCATTAATATCTCTTAATACCAATTATCTCAATTCATCTATAAAAAGACAGGCTAACAGAATGGGTACAGAAACAGGACCCATTCTTCTGCTGCATACAAGAAACACACTTCAACCTCAAAGACAGATATCACCTCAGAGTAAAAGGTTGGGAAAAGATTTTCCAATCAAATGGACCTAAGAAATAAGCTGGTATAGCTATCCTAATATCTAACAAAATAGACTTCAAACTAAAATCAGTCAAAAGAGATGGAGAAGGACATTTCATATTCATCACAGGAAAAATCCATCAAGATGAAGTCTCAATTCTGAACATCTATGCCCCAAATATAAGAGCAGCCACATTTGTAAAAGAAACATTACTAAAGCTTAAATCACACATCAAACCACACACACTAATAGTGGGGGACTTCAACACCCCATTCTCACCACTGGATAGGTCTGCCAGACAGAAATGTAACAGAGAAATAAGGGAACTAATGGATGTTATGACTCAAATGGACATCTATAGAACATTTCACCCAAACACACACACACACAAAATACCTTCTTTTCAGCACCTCATGGGACCTTCTCTAAAATTAACCACATCCTTGGTAACAAAGCAAACCTCAACAGATACAAAAAAAAATTGGAATAACCTCCTGTATGTTATCAGATCGCCATGGCTTAAAGAATTCAAAACAACACTCAAGGCAGAAAGCCTACAGACTCATGGAAATGAACAATGTTCAACTGAATCACCACAGGGTCAAGGAATAAATAAAGAAAAAAATTAAAGACTTCCTAGAATTCAATGAAAATGAATGCACAGCATATTCAAGCTTATGGGAAACTATGAAAGCAATGCTAAGAGGAAAGTTTATAGCACTAAGTGCCTACATAAATAATGTGGAGAAATCTCACACTAGTGACTTAACAGTACATCTGAAAGCTCTAGAACAAAAGGAATCAAACTCACCCTGTAGATGACAGGAAATAATCAAAATGAGGGCTAAAATCAATAAAATAGAAACAAAGAGAACAATACAAAGAATCAATGAAACAAAGAGTTGTTTTTTTGAGAACATCAACAAGCCCTTATCCAAACTAACCAAAAGGCAGAGAGAGATTATCCAAATCAACAAAATCAGAAATGAAAACGGGGGCATAACAGACACTGAAGAAATCCAGAGAATCATTTGATCATACTTCAAAAACATGTACTCTACAAAATTGGAAAATGTGAAAGAAAGAAATGGACAATTTTCTGGATAGAAATTTACCACATACCAAAATTAAATCAAGACAAGATAAACAATTTAAATATACCTATAACCTCTAAGGAAATAGAATCAGTCATCGAAAGTCTCCCAACAACAACAAAAAATTCCCAGTACCAGATGGTTTCAGCTCAGAATTCTACCAGAATTTCAAAGAAATCTAATAGCAGTACTCCTCAAGTTGTTCCACACTATAGAAACAGAAGGAACATTGCCAAACTCTTTTTATGAGGCTACAGTTACCCTGATGCTCAAACCACTCAAAGAAACAACTAAGAAAGAGAATTACAGACTAATCACCCTCATGAACATTGACACAAAAAATACTCAATAAAATACTGGCAAACTGAATCCAAGAACACATCAGAAAAATCATCCACCATGATCAAGTAGGCTTCATCCCAGAAATGCAGGGATGGTTCAGCATACAAAAATCTGTAAAATGCAATCCATCATATAGATAAACTGAAAGAAAAAAAACCACATGATCATCTCATTAGATGCTGAAAAAGGCCTTTAACAAAACCCAACCCCTTCATGATAAAAGTCTTGGAAAGATGAGGGATACAAGGGACACACTGAAATATAATAAAGTCAATATACAGCAAGCCAACAGCCAACATCAAACTTAATGGAAAAAAAACTCAAAGTGATTTCACTAAAATCAGGAACAAGACAAAGCTGTCTACTCTCTCCATATCTATTCAATATAATATTCATAGTTCTAGGTAGAGCAATAGGACAACAAAAAGAGATCAAGAGGATACAAATTGGAAAGGAAGAAGTCAAACTTTTGCTAATTGCAGATGATATGATAGTATATATAAATGACCACAAAAATTCTAACAGGGAACTCCTACAGATGATAAACACCTTCAGTAATGTGGTGGTATACAAGATTAGCTCAAAAAAATCAGTAGCCCTCCTATGTACAAATGATAAATGGGCTGAGAAAGAAATCAGAGAACCATCATACATTACAACAGCCATAAACAACATAAAATACCTTGGGGTAACTCTAAATAAGCAAGTAAAAGACCTATATGACAAGAACTTCAAGTCTTTCAAGAAAGAAATTGAAGAAGATATCAGAAAATGGAAAGATCTCCCATGCTCTTGGATAGGTAGGATCAACATAGTAAAAATGGCAATCTTACCAAAAGCAATCTACAGATTCAATGCAATCCCCATCAAAATCCCAACATAATTATTGAAAGAATAATACTCAACGGAAGAACAAAAAACCCAGGATAGCCAAAACAATCCTGTACCATAAAAGAACTTTCAGAGGCATCACCATCCCTAACTTCAAGCTCTACTGTAGAGCTATAGTGTAGTCCAGTGGTTTCTCCCATCCTGCCTGGCCCTGCAGTCCTGCAACCACTAATAAAATAATCATTTAGAGGCTTAATATTATTTACAAACTATATGGTCTATGGCAAACCCCGTGTTAGTTAGCTCTTATATCTTAAATTAACCCATTTCTATTAATCTATGTTTTGCTATGTGTTCTGTGGCTTTACTGGTTTGTTGGCATCTTGTTTTTCCTTCAGTGATGGCTGCTGTCTCCCTAGATTCCACCTCCCCCCTCCCCTCTTTTTTTTCTTTCTTTGGATTTCCTGTCTCTAAGTTGCCTTGCCATGGCCAAAGCAGCTTATTTATTAACCAATGGGAGCAACATATATTTACAATGTACAGAAAAATATCCCCTAGCACTAAAGTATTAAAAAACAGCTTAGTATTGGCATTAAAACAGACATGTGGATCAATGGAAATGAATTGAAGACCCTGACATTAATCCAAACACCTATGAACAACTGATTTTTGAAAAAGAAGCTAAAATTATGTAATGAAAAACCAAAAGCATCTTCAACAAATGATGCTGGCATAACTGGATGTCAACATGTAGAAGATTGCAAATAGATCCATATCTGTCACCATGTACAAAACTCAAGTCCAAGAGGATCAAAGACCTCAATATAAATCCAAATACACTGAACCTGATAGAAGAGAAAGTAGAAAGTAGTCTCGAATGCATTGGCACAGGAAACTACTTCCTAAATAAAACACCAGTAGCACAGACACTGAGAACAACAATTAACACATGGAACCTCTTGAAACTGAAAAGCTTCTGTAAGGCAAAGGACATAGTCCACAAGACAAAACAGCAGCCTACAGAATGGGAAAGGATCTTCACCAACCCCACATGTGACAGAGGGCTGATTTTCAAAATATATAAAAGAACTCAAGAAACTAGACATCAAAATACCAAATAATCCAATTAAAAATGGGGTACAGAGCTAAACAGAGAATTCTCAACAGAAGAATCTCAAATGGCTAAGACATTTAAGGAATTGCTCAACATCCTTAGTCATCAGGGAAATGCAAATCAAAATGACTCTGAGATACCATCTTATACCTGTCAGAATGATTAAGATCAAAACACTGATGACAGCTTATGTTGAAGAGGATGTAGAGTAAGGGGAACACTCCTACACTGTTGGTGGGAGTGCAAACTTATACAGCAATGTTGGAAATCAGTATGGCAGTTTCTCAGAAAATTGAGAATCAATCTACCTCAAGACCCAGCAATACCACTATTGAGCGTGTACTCAAACGATGCTCAGTCATACCACAAGGACACATGCTCAACCATGTGCATAGCAGAATTATTTGTAATAGCCAGAACCTGGAAACAACCTAGATGCCCCTCACCTGAAGAATGGATAAGGAAAATGTGGTACATTTACACAATGGAGTATTACTCAGTGGTTAAAAAAACAAAAAACAAAAAACAATGGCATCATGAAATTTGAAGGCAAATGGATAGAACTAGAAAGAATCATCCTGAGTGAGGTAACTCAGACCCAGAAAGACACACACAGTATGTACTCACTCTTAAATGGGTATTAGATGCAAAACAAAGGATAACCAGGCTACAGTCCACAACCCCAGAGAAGCTAGGTAAAAAGGACCCTAAGAGGGACACACATGGAGAGCCCCAGGAAGGGAAAATAGTTAAGATCTCCTGGGTAAACTGGGAGGGAGGTTAGATGGAAAGGGATAGTGGATGGGAACAGGAGTGACTGAGATGGCCAAGTGGAGGGAGGGACAGAGAGGGAGCACAATGAAAGAGATATCCTGGTAGAGGGAACCATTAGGGGGTTAGGGAGAAACCTGGTACTGGAGAAATCCCCAGAAATTCACAAGGATGACTCCAGCTAAAACTCCTAGCTATAATGGAGAGGGTACCTGAACTTATCTTCCCTTATAATCAGATTAGTGACTACCCTAATTGTCACCATAGAACTACTTCCAGTAACAGATGGAAGCAGATGCAGTGATCCACAACCAAGCACTGGGCTGAGCTCCTCGACTTCAATTGAAGAGAGGGAGGAGGGATCTCAGGAGCAAGCGAGGTCAAGATCATGATGTGGAAAACCATAGAGACAGGTGACTCAAGCTGGTAGGAGCTCATAGACAGCTGGGGAACATGCATGGGGCCTAAATAGGCTCTCTGAATGTGGGCAACAGTTATGTGGCTAGATCTGTTTAGAGAGCCCCTGGCAGTGGGATCAGAACTTATCCCAGGTGCATGAAATGGCTTTTTTAAACACATTCCCTAGGGTGGGATACCTTGCTCAGCGTTGATACAGGAGGAAGGGGCTTGGTCCAGCCTCAACTTAGTATGCCAGACTTTTTTGACTCCCCAACAGAAGCCTGTCTGAGGAATGGAATGGTGGAATGGGGGGGATGGGGAAAGGTGGAGGTAGAGTGGGAGAAGGGGAGGGAGAGTGAACTGGAATTGGTATGTAAAATGAAAAACAATGTAAAGACAGAGAGAAAGAGAGATAGAGAGGAAGGAAGGGAAGGAGGGAAAGGCGGAAAGAGGGAGGGAGGAAGGAAGAAAATACAAAAGTCCTTGAAAATTACAAGATCTTATGAAAAGAAAAATAAGTAGTGAGGAATAAACAGTATAAATTTGGTAAACTAGGTTCAGGTTTTGTTTGAAATTTCTTTCTTTGGTTTATAAATCAGATTTTTATTAAAATCTGTGACTTTGCTAGTTTATTTTTCCTGTAGGTATTCTTTAATACATATGTAACACACTGGGCAAACACTGAATCTAAAACCTAAGCAATAACTGATTCTAGAGCCAGGTACAATGCTGACTAAATACATGACTTATAAATCAGATCGTTTTTTCATAGATTTTACTTTAGCATAGGAATTATAATACCATCTGTATATTCCTTGTAAGGATTTTTAATTTAAATTTTTATGTTTTTGAGAATATCATGCATGAGAACTGTAAATACATCATTTGTCTCTTCAGAGTGTGTTGTTCAGCTCTATGACAAACAGTGTGCCGGAGACAGGCCATTTACAAGGAGCACACGGTTTTATAGGGAGCACACGGTTTTATAGGGAGCACACAGTGGAGTAAGTTTTTCACCTCATGGCCAGATGCAACAAGATAGAAAAGCCAGAGTTCTGAGAAATCTGTCTGTCTACACTCAAGTTCTAGGTTGTAGACAAGTATGCCTTCATTGTGGGCTGTTTCGTGGCCGCTAGGACCCAAACTCAGGGCTTCACACTTGGGCAGGAAGCACTTTACCCATTGAGTTATCTCTGTGGCCCCTCCAACCACTTTTTTTCAAACCACTTTTTAACAGGGTCTCCTTTAAGAGTTGAGAAGCCTGGTGCAAAAGTACCAATGAAGGTCCTAGTACCCCTGTTAAATAACATACTCAGTATATTTCATTTTATATTTTCATACTTATTTGCATATTTGAGCATCTTCCAGTTTTCCTGCTTTGACTACTATAACTTATAACAGAATTGAACACGTATAAAGTCATAGTTTGGGGCCAGAAAGATGGTTCAGTGAGCAGGGCTCTTGCTGTCAAGGGTGACAATGTGGTGGAATGAGAGAACTGACTCCTGCAAGCTGTCCTCTGACCTCCACACTTGTGCATGGCGTGTGTACCACACCCCAAATAAATCAATGTAATATTAGTAAAAAAAAAAAAAGATCATTTTTATAGAACTGAGAATCATAAACTATTGACAATAACTAAATTGAACATCCATATTGTAGTTCTGTTGCTGAGTCAGTTATACTTGAATGGATAATAGGTATAGATGAACCCCATAAGTTATTAGTTATTCCAAGAAATACTTTTTCTTCCCTTCATGTTAGCAGAAAACCACTCTATAGTTATAATTGAAATTTCAACATAATTTGATCTCTGGTGATAGCAGTGATCTAAAGTAGCTATGATTTAAGTAGAATGGAGTGTGTTTAAATGAGGTCAAAATCTGAGTATATTTGCGTTATGAATCTGAAGAAAAATTAAAGGAAGATGATTGATACCTGGTATTACTGGACATAATACTTAATTATGTAGGAACATATAGGGTTTATATTGTGTAAGAAGCATTTGACAAGCTGATTAATTTGTCTTTTTCTCTTGCCTAAGTGCTTCCAGTGATCAATTCCTCCCTGCTCTCTGAAGCTGGACGAGCTCCTGATGTCCAATCGTGGTGCAGACTGTAAACCATCATAGAATCCCGACAACTTCATCGTCCTTCTACGCCATCTTAAAAGATCCACATGGAGTCTTCTCCTGGGCCTGATGAACATAAAGAGAATAATGTGAAGAGCTACCATGTGCTCTGCCAGGGCTGTGCTCTGGACCCAGGTGCTGGGGCTCCTGGGGATTTCATGTATATGTGTATGAGAAGGAAATCTGTGGAGGGCTCAAAAGTACAGAGCTTAAGACAGAGTATCATAAGGAAACTTTGTGGGAGGGTGGAAGTGTTTCAGTCTTGATGTGTATCATATCATGATCATGTTAGTTTATATGTTTGTTCAGATTTAATAATTGTACACTTAATATTTGTGTGTTCTGCTTGTATTCAGCAAAGTTTTGTTAGTATAAAAATAAAGGCTACAGAGAACACTTCTCTCTCATTCCTACTCTTTGCTTCTCTAGCCTAGATTTCTCCTATTTATCCTCTCTGCCTGCTAGATCTGCCTATCATTTCTATGCCTAGCTATTGGCCATTCATCCCTTTATTAGACCAATCAGGTGCCTTAGGCAGGCAAGGGGAGATAAATGCAACACATCTTTTCATAATTAAACAAATGCTGGGTAAACAAATGTAACACATCTTTGCCTAGTTAAAATAATATCCACAATACCCCAGTCCTTTTTCCATTACTTTAATGCAGCTGTATAGTATTCTCACATGCCCCCTCACATACACAGATATACTAATTGCTTTACTTTTTAACCTGGCTACACTAAATTTTGTCTTTGGCATTGAACCCTAAGTCACTGATATAGACATAGACTCTAATTACATATGATTACTTCCATTTCTCTCTTCTAAGTAACATTACAGTTTAATTTGTTGCATATAAAGTTTTTATTATATTATGGTTTTGTATTGTATTATTTTTTTCATATGGAACATGAGTGAAAAACATTTTTTTAATTTTTAAAAGTTTAATTAATTACATATCCCCCCATTCTTCCTACACTTCCAATGTGTGCATCCTCCTCCCTCCCACCATCACGGCCTCCTCTTCTTTAACCATCGTTATTACATGTAAATATAAATGAATAAAAATACAATCTGCTGAGTTCACTCAGGACTGCCTGTATGTATGTTTCGTGGGCTGACCACTTGGTATTGGATAGCAAATCAGGGGCCTCATCCCCTGGAAAAACTAATTCTCCCTCCTTCAGCTGCTGTTAATTGCTTGTAGCTTCCCACCTGGGGTGGGCCCCAGTAAGATTTCCCCTTTCTGTGTTGGGATGTCAACTGTTGCTGGAATTGTTCATGTCTTGTTTAGGCAGCCATGTTGTTGAAATTTCACGGGTATAGTGTTTTAGGGTTTCCATTGTTGTGATAAAGACTATGGCCATAATCAACTTGGGGAGGAAAGGGTTTATTTTACTTCCACTTCCACATCACACTCCACCATTGAAAGTAGTCAGGGCAGGAACTCCAGGCAGGCACCTGGAGACAGGAACTAATGCAGAGGTATGGAGGAGTGTTGCTTACTGGCTTGCTTCCCATGTAACAAAGACTATTGAGGTCCAGCCACGTATAAGCCTTTCCCCAGAGTTCCAGAAGAGATGCTATCAGTGGCAAATTAATTAATCTGAGGGACGTTGAATGAATCTATGTACCCCAAGCTCTTTAGTCCATTCACTTTATTATTCCGCGTCAATTCTCTCTCTACACAGCTTCTTTTGTACTCTCACACTTAGCTCCTTTCTTTCCTGATTCTCTCTACCATTTCCTGCTGTTCTCTTTATGTTCTATCTTAGTTCTCCCATCTTAGTCCTACCCCGTCTCAGTTCTCCACCTTAGTTCCTCCCAAGTCTCTGAGGTTTACAGTTATACACCCATGCAATCAGCAATACTCTGGCCAAGGCAAGGTCACCAGGCTTGAATTCTTTCAGAATCAAAAGGAGGGGTGATACGATCCACACAAAGAGCAGTATTTGTCAGCTGTCATTTGCAAGCCAAAAGGGAAGTGACTAATGGGGAATGAATCAGCTAAGGGCTGAATTCAGTTATTAGATCTAAAAGGGGGATTTATGTGCTCAAACTGTATTCTCAGAAGTGGTTAGTTAAGATGTTAGGAGTCACTAAGTTTTGAGTGAAAATAAAACTACTTTATGTTCCTTTGGCACCACATCTCCCCAAGGTTATCTTGGCTGCACCATTTTCTGGCAGGGGAGGGGAAGTGTACTCAGTAACTAGGCAACCTGTGTCACAGCTAGATGTACCTGGTATGTAAAAGCCCTTTTGTTCTGAGTTAATTGTTAAAGGCAGATCTTTAGAACTAGAGATAACACTTGGAAAAAAAGAAGGGTTAAGCTAATTAGCACATCCACCTGGCCTGGGCAACCAGTAGTCTCAGGAACTAACAGATAGTCTGAATGCTTATCTATCTGCAGTCTGTCCTAGAAGGTCTGGGAAGTATCTCAGATAAAATACTTCCATCCAGAGAAGGTCCTGGCCAGATGTTTGCTAGTGACGATAATTACAAAAAGGTCTGGAATTAGAGGTCTGGCTGGGTGACTGCTGTCAGCACAGTTGGGGGATGTTGTCCAAATACTCCAATTGTATAAGGGACATTGTGCCAAGTGAATGATTCAACCACATTGTTAAAAGTTCTTGGGAAAAGAATCAAATGGGAAAGCTACAATAGCACACAGGAAATTCATTGCAGGAAACAGCTTATATATTCAAAAGCATCACCAAGACTCCTTGAATCTTGGCTTTATCCTCTGGAAGAGTTTTTAGCTCTTCCAGGTAATAGCTTTTGCCATAGTCAGCTGAATTCCTATTTTATATTTCTGCAACTTGCAGCACCCATGACTTGCTCAGATAGCTTTCTTATATAACCTAGGACTTCCAGTCCAGGGGTGACATCACCCTCAGTGGTCTGGGCCCTCCCACATAATTATTAATTAAGAAAATGCCCTACAGACTTGCTTACAGGCAAATCTCATGAACGAATTTTTTCCCAGTTGAAAGTCTCTCTTCCCAAATGACTCTAACTGTGTCAAGTTGCCATAAAACTAACCAGGACTTGAAGCTTTCCTGAGATAGTAAGTTTTTAGTGGCTATATTAAAGTGGTATGTCCCAGTGGCTAAGGTGCTGGGCTTTGGAGTTCAGAAAAAAGCTAGGTTCAGGTCCTTCTGTCCTTGACCTGTGTGGTGGTTTGAAAGAAAATGACCCCCAAAGGGAATGGCATTATTGGAAGGTGTGAGCTTGTAGGAGTAGGTGTAGTCTTGCTGGAGGAAGTGTGTCACTGTTGAGGCAGGCTTTGAGGTCTCATATATGCTCAAGCCATGCCCAATGAGACAGTCTACTTCCTGTTGTCTATATATCAACATGTGGCAGCTCCTTCTCTAGTATCATGTCTGCCTGCATGTTGCCATGCTCCCACCATAATGATAAAGGACTAAACCTCTGAAACTGTAAGCTGCCACCTCAATTAAATGTTTCCCTTATAAGAGTTGCTGTGGTCATGGTGTCTCTTCATAGCAATAGAAACCCTAAGACAACCTGGAACAAACTAATTCAAATCTAATTTGGTGTTACCCTTAGAGTTGTTTTAAGGATTAAGATAATGTATAGAAAGTGTTTGGTATTGAATGACCACAGAAGTACCCTATCAGCACTAGGAACAATATTATTAATTATCTCCTTCACTACTGGAGGGTATGCAAAAATGCTAGCTTCTGATCCACCCTCAGTATTGTCTATTAGGACCTAAATTATTTTCTTGATGAAATGAATACATGTTGAATGGTCCTTGTCTGAAACTCTTAGAATTAGAAGTGCTTCAGACTTCACATTTTTTAGATCCTGAAATATCTACATATCCATAATGAGATATGTTGGGGATAAGACCCAAGGCTAAACAGGAAATCTATTGTATGTTTTGAATAATTTGTTGTGTGAAACAAAGTTTCATGGTGTAGAGTTTTCCACTTGTAGTGTGATATCTGTGCTCAAAATAATGTAGAGTTGGAATTTTTGAATTAGGGATGTTTAGCTTGTGTGTGTGTGTGTGTGTGTGTGTGTGTGTGTGTGTGTGTGTATGTAGTATTGGGAGCCAAACAATAGTAGAGTTATATTTTCAATTCTCAACCTGTGTTCCATCCTTATTTTAATTATTTAATCATATTACTTGGCTAATAGGAAGCTGGACATTTAATTTTTTTTTTAGCATTTTAAATTTTAAAAATCTTTAAAATTTCTCCTAGATTCTCTATCTACTTCCTAGGTGCCTTTTATTCACTGTTAATTTATGAACAGGTACACGATAATTATGTTATGGGGCAGGTTAAGCATAGCTGCCACATGGGACACAGTAAAGGAAGGAAACATATTTTCATTATTTCTGACATGGACAATAAATAGATAAGTGAAAGCCAGTATGCCCCTGAGGTGGCTTCATCACCAGCTATGCACTCACTGCCCATACATGTGTTTCCTTCTTTCCATGGCAGTTTAGTCCAGTCTAGTTGGCCAGAGAGAGCAAGGTTAGCTAACTGGATGTGGTTCATTTGAATACCAGGGCATATTTTTGTTGTTATTATATAGCTATTTGAATCAGTTAGTCTGTAAAGCACATTATTTGTGTATGGTCATAGCTGTTGTTGAATTGAAAATGTCATTTGAGAGATGTGTGAAACAGTGCCTGAATGTAGAGATCCCAGGCCATCATTGGCAATACACTGTGACCTAGCTTGGCCACCGGGCAAATCCTGACACTGCTATGGACAAGGTGGTGCTGTTACTGGGTCAGCCTCACCTGTGCTGCCTCATCTGTGCTGCCACTCCTCCTAGCTAGCTCCCCCAGACCCATGTCTTTAATATAACAGTGTTATAAATATTTCAGAACAGCAAGAGAGCGAGACCCAGAATCTCCCTGCCCAACTCTCTATTTTACACCGTTTGCAACAACACTCTGCTCAGACCTAGATGATTCACCGTGTTTATGGCTTCTGTTTCAGGCAGTTTCAGTCACTAGTGATCATCCTGCCTGGAGCCTATGTAGCTAGCCTGCCTAGAGTGGGAATTAGGGGACACCTATGCAAATGAGAACTGAGAAGAAGCTGTGCCTTCAGAGACTGACTGATTAGAACAGCAGTACTGTGGGGAGATCAGCTAAGTACCTAATCTAGGTCTAGCTACCGTCTTCCAACAGCCATCCCTTACCTACCTCTGCATCAGAACATCCCATGACAAATAGATGAAAACCTTTTGAAATCTATTAACTTAGCAGACCACTAGCTCCCACCAATCCAAACACTAAGAATGTCATAAGATAGCATCTTATAGAAAAGCTCCCCCAATCCTGCTGTACCTGCCTTTCTGATGTACCCTTCAATGTATTTTAAACATGCCTTGATTTATGACTTTGTTGTGTAAAACTATAAAACTTCATGAAACTGCTTCCACATTGGAACATGGAACTTGGGGTAACGTGAATCTGTTCCCAGGCCATGGTCACTCAAAATGGCTCCAGAATAAACTATCTCTTACTACTACCCTTAAGATGACAGCTGTGGTTTCTGCCTTGACACCAACTTGCTGCTTGCTGCCCCCTGCTGGACATGGGACATGTTGTGCTCTTCCATCACCTGAAGACTGGGGGGAGCTTTGTGTGGCCTTTCCTACTGTCTGCACTTCTGGAATTGTGGATCTAGGGTAAAAGACAGATACTTACTAGGGATAGGAAAGAGACCCATGTTTTCTCTAGTGTCTTTGTAGCTTTCCCAGGACAGAATTGGGGATGGATGGGATTACTACTTCTCTTTGTCTCATGGAGATCAAAAAGAGACGAGTTTCTCTCTGATCCCTAAACACCAAGTGTAGGAGAAAACAAGTAGGAGGCTGAGACCCCAACAGGCCAGAGCAGATGTGCAGCAGGAGCCAGTGCCCCAGGGAGTCATCAGTGGTTGTGTCCAGCTTTTCCTGAGAGAACGAAAGCATTTCACCAGTGAGGACACTGAGGATCAGAGTAGACGTGCCTGACTGTAAGGTAGCAGAAGGGGCCTTTGTATATAGACCTGTTGGGATATTAAGCCAGTTTTTCCCCCATGGCACTGAAAGGTATTTCTTTAGAACTAAAGAATTCCTGGATGCATCCTCTCCCGTCTTTCCAGAGGTAGGAGATGGTAGAATATGCCCCTATTTTATCAGGCTCACAAATATCAGCCATCGATAAAAGTTGGGTATTATCACTAGGCATCACCTTGGGGTCATGCTGAGTTTGAGACACTCTTGGCCCTTTGTAGCTGTCTACTGTAGGTCATGTGGCCCCTCACTAGGAAGACTTCAAGGAATAACCAATGCTATTCCCTGGCTAGGTACCAACCACTCTCAGCACAACCTGAGCCAAAGGCAGACTAGCTCATTTCTGTACTTAGAAAGACTAGCCATAGATCCTAGATTATTAGGTAGCCATGCAAGCCTGGAGGAAAGGATTCAGCAAGCCTCAGACTCACACGATGGATTGGTCAGTCATGGGGGTGGGAAGGGTCTCTGCACCTCAAGACCAAAACCAAGGACTTGCATCACTAATGGCCAAGGCTTGTCCTCTGAGTCAGGTGACCAGGTCTGATCCAGGTTCTAGTTTATTTTGTTGTGTCACCACAGGCGAGTTTAGAATCTCTCTGGATTTCCCTCTACTTTACTTAGAAAATGAACAGGGCTCTGTTCCCCAAGATCTAACCCAGCTCTGCAGCAGAACACCCTTGGCAGCCTTCCCTGCCCCTGCTCCTGTGGATCCCACAGCTTTTCCCTCTAACTATCCTCCCCCAACTTGTTGCTTTGTCCAAGACCACAACCCCAGCAGGCACCCCCTGCTAAACCCATGGGCCCGTTCCTTCCAGGGCAACTAGTAGCCTGAAGGCAGACACGTACTTCTCCTACTGCTCTGGAGATCCAGTGCCCCCAGTCTCATCCACAGCTCTGTAGCTGGAAACCTGCTATGGTATCCCTTTCCTCTCTGACCCCATCCCCAATGGATCACAGAGACCTTCTCCTCCAATCTTCCGTCTCTCAACTCATCCCAGTACCCCAGCCTCTAACACCAGCCGGCATTCCCTGAGAACACACCAGCTGAACAGGCCAGGAAATGAGGCAACGCACATCCATCACACCCTCTGAAAATCCAGAGAGGAAACAGAAACTAAGGAACAAAATACCCACCAACGAAGACAAATCCAGAAATCATCACCCAGACCTATAATCATCCCAAACCTAGATGCCAGCATAAAAACACAATCAAGCCGGGCAGTGGTGGCGCACGCCTTTAATCCCAGCACTCGGGAGGCAGAGCCAGGCGGATCTCTGTGAGTTCGAGGCCAGCCTGGTCTCCAAAGCGAGTTCCAGGAAAGGCGCAAAGCTACACAGAGAAACCCTGTCTCGAAAAACCAAAAAAAAAAAAAAAAAGGAAAAAAAAAGGAAAAAACACAATCAATAACAGCCAGGGCAGTAAAGGTTCACTAGATCCCAGCTATTCTATCAGAGTAGACGCTGAAAATTCTAACACAGCTGAAGCAAACAGTGCAAGGAAATGAATACATATCTTAAAGAAATCCAAGAAAACAAAAACAAACAGTTGAAGGAAACAAAATTGTTCAAGACCTGAAAATAGAAACAGAATCAATAAACAAATGGAGGGAATTCTGGAAATTAAAAGTTTAGAAACTTGAACAGAAACTACAGAAGCAAGCTCTACCAACAGAACACTAGAAATGAAAGAGAGACTCTCAGGCATTGAAGATAAAATAGAAGAAATAGACACATTAGTCAAAGAAAATGTTAACTCTAAAAAGCTCCTGACACAAAACATCCAAGAAATCTCAGACACTGTGAAAAGACCAAATCTAGGAATAACGGGAATAGAAGGAGAAGAATCCCAGCTCAAAGAAACAGAAAATATTTCCAACAAGATCACAGAAGAAAACTGAAATGCCTATAAAGAATGAGATGTCTATAAAGTTACAAGAAGCATGCAGAGAACCAAACAGATTGGTGTTCAAACAGAAAAAGAAAGGTCCCTCACCATATAATAACCAAAGTACATACAGGAGAAAGAAAGAATATTGAAAGCTGCAAGGGGAAAAGACCAATAACATACAAAGGCAGACCTGTTAGAATTACATCTGACTTCTCAATGGAGACTTCAAAAGCCATTAGGGCCTGGACTAGAGGCTCTAAGAGACCACAGATGCCAGCTCAGACTACTATGCTACACTGGCTGGCTTTGTGTCAACTTGTCACAGGCTAGAGTCATCAGAGAGGAAGGGCCTCAGTTGAGGAAATGCTTCTAGGAGAGCTAGCTGTAAGGCATTTTCTTAATCAGTGATTGATAGGGGAGGGCCCAGCCCATTGTGAGTGGTACCATCCCTGGGCTGGCAGTTCTGAGGTCTTCAAGAAAGCAGGCTGAGAAAACCACGTAAGCAGCACCCCTCCATGGATCCTGCCTTGTTTGAGTTCCTATCCTGGCTTCCTTCATGATGAACAGTGATATGGAAGTGTAAGCCAAATAAACCCTTTTCACTCCAACTTGGTGTTTGGTTATGGAGTTTCATTGTAGCAATAGAAACCCTAACTAAGACATTGACCCTGAAAAACTTTCAATCACCATAGATGGAGAAAGTAGGAAATTCCACAATAAATCAAATCTAAACAATACCGACCTACAAATCCAGCTTTACAGAAGGTGCTAGAAGGACAACTCCAACCTATGACGTAGCTGAACCCATGAAAACTCAGGAAGTAAATGATATCACTGAAAGGATGATAATCAGCACTGGTGGTGGCACTGGTTACCAGTGGGAAAGTCACAAGCCACAGCCACAACTACCAGGGTTACAGAGAGCCTTATTAGGAGGGAAAGGTAGGGGGGGGGAGAGAGGGGAGCCAGGCCTGGGGGGGGAGCAGAGCAGAGCAGGGAGCAGAGAGCAGAGAGGAAAGAGAGAGGGTGGGGGTCTGCATCCTGCTTTTTTAAGGCGCAGATTGTGTGACCATGCTGCATGTACGTAGTTGCCAATGCCCCCTAATGACATAAGATGCAAGACCCCGAGGAGTGATGGCAGGATCCTAACATTCCAGCATTTTGCTTATTATAAAAAACCAAGTGAATAGGAATAGGGGCATTGTTCCTCTCAGAAAAACTGCTTCCAGCTGACTTGGTGGGCGTTGGTTGGCTCTTAGGGGGGTAGGGAAGGGGGCCTTCCGAGGTAGACAGGTGTCCTGGGATGCTGGGCCATCCTGCTGCCCTGGAGCCGTCCAGCCCTTTTGGCTTGGCACTCTGGCTGTTTTTGTGTCTGACAGGATGTTGGTGAGACAGAAAAAGCCTGAAGTAGATCCGACCTGTCCAGATGGATTTAAGCTGGTTTCTGGAGCTTGGGGAAAAGTTTGAACATGTTAAAAAGCAGCCATGAGAAAATCAGTGACCATTGTTTAGTACTCTGCTTATATTGGTTAGTGTTAATGAGAGAGACAGAGCAAGAGTCTGTCCTATGGGACCTTGGCAATGGATAATAGTATAGGGGAGTTTGACTTCTGACAGTGTCATATCCATTCTATTTGTTCCATAACACCACATGTCACTCTCACCTCAGCCCCACAATTCAGCTCAATAGTTGAGGAGGGCTGGAGAAGTACATATAAGTCCTTTTCCCTGATCACAGAAAAAACAGAGATGGTCAATGACAACCCAGGTCTGAGTCAGCAAAGCAATTCTGTGTCTAGTCACAGGGATTAATCTGGGGATGACCACTTGGGGCAATGAAAGTTAGGACCAGGGTTTTATTGAGACTGTTAGAAAACCGGATTTGCTCTTTTTTCTGCTGGGAATTCTAGCTGAAAAGGTGATGTCCAAGTCCAAGCTGCTATGGGTCACAGTTCACATGAAGCCATCACAGATACAAAGTCACAACAAAGACAGATTGACACTAATTAGTGTCCTAAGGACACTAATTCAGAGACCTTTAAGGCTGTTCTATATAGTCTTCCATTCTGTACTAATATTATCCCAGTTGTACTTAAGGCAAATTGATTAAGGTTGAATCAGACTATAAATTCTCAGTGGAGGGAGTCCAGGCTGATCAAATTGTCTAGGCAGCTCTCACTTTAAATTCAGTAAAGATACAGTCCCTCTATTTCATTTACCAGCTGGGTTATTATGTTGCAAACCTAAAACAAGCATGCCTTATGTGAAATTTTTGCTTGAAAACTTATCATTGCAACTGAGGGTACACAAGCTTACCCCTTTCTAAACTGAGAAAACAGAGGCAAAGCAGGAAGATGAGCAGACCACAAAGGCTACAGCAAAGACAATCTGAGCTCCAATCAGCTCGTCTCAAACACTGTGAAGCTGGATTTATGCTTTAGCACTGAACTTGCCAGAGTCTAAACTGCTGATGCAAGTAACACTGCACACTGAGAATGTGACATTAGCAGGTAACAAAGAGTGAGCCTGCCTGCTCAGACATTTCTACAAACAGCAGGGATCTCTGCCTCAGACCACAACCACAAAT